CCACTGCGGCGCATTCCGCCCTCTTGTTTTCCTCCTCCTCCGTCTCTTTGCCCACCCTTCCTTCATTCATCGACTCAGTTGGCCTTGTCGGCTCGATATACGAGGAACACGAAAACTCGACGAGCGCACCGACATGTCTTATCGTATTTCTAACTTTTAGTACAATTTATTTTTGCAAATATTCAACTAAAAAGTATTTCGTTTAATGAATTTATTGATTTTTAAAAGCTGAGATATTATTCGGTAAAAATATTGCAGGCTAATGTACCGAACCATGTACTATTAACAAAAATATTAAGATACATAAAAATATATTAGGAATATAAAAAGATATGTAAGATAAATTAAATATTGGTATTATTAAAATTAATAAATTATTAAAATAAATTTTGAATAAAAGTTATAATTAAGTATGGAGTATGTACTGAAACATTAAAATAATAAAAAAAACAATGCATTCTAAGAGAAAAATATCTAAGAAAAAAAAATTTATTCTGTAAGTATCAATAACATTTACTTATATCAATATATATTTTTACATTGAGAAAAAGGATATTTTTCAAATAAGAAAATATACATTAACATCCCTCAATTTTAACTTTTCATGAAAGCAATCTTTTATTCTATTTAAATAAAAGAATTTACATCTAAATAAATATATTATCAGTATTCATCGAATAAGTATCCTTTTTTATTTCTCGGATATTTTCTCACTCAAGTGTATTATTAAGATCAATCACAAAGGTGAGAATTAATTGTGAAATATTAAACAACTTTATTAAGTTAATAAACAAATAGATGAAAAAAATAAAAAAAAAGAAATTTTACGTATTAAAATGCAGTTAATAACATACGGCTCCGGCATCGTGTCGCGTTTTTTTATTCACGGTGTCACAATGGTGTTTTCTTTTTATGCTTTTGCGATAGTATTTTACGGAACGCTCCCGTTTAGTCGATCGAGAAAGTAGGTAAAGCCTTTGAAAGGAATCTATTCCGGGATCTATTTCGATCTTGCAGCTGATACGCATAGGTGCACGTAGGCAGCGATCGTCACGAGCGTGTCGGCGTGTAATGTCGCCGCGACCAGGACGACTACGACGAAGAGCGTGCGCGCATTTAGATGCGAAACATGCGCCAGAGCAAACTTCTCTCAAGGCGTGTGTCGCACGAACAACTTCGCGTGTCCACCAGCACGAACAACATCTCGACTTGATGGACATTCACTGTGAACATACACGCACATGCACACACATACACTCTTGTGAGCGCTCATGCGCGTATTGGCGCGCACCGCTAACGCTATCCTAATTGTTTTAGCAACAACGAGCGGGAGTTAGCGACACGCGTAGATCCATTATTGTGCGACACCACGTTCGCGAACGCTGCGAAGAACTTTGCAGACGTATATCTCAATCAAAGCTGCGACACGCAGTGCAGAAATGCGAATGCTTTTCCCCTCTAGAGCTCTCGTGTGCTCTACGCTCAACATTGAATTGCTGACAAATTTCTAAATTTGATCTGCTTGTTCTTAACTTTCTATAAAGACCTCATTGCCGCAGCTAATCACGATTTGCTGAAAATGCATCTGTCGCTGTAACTAAGAATTTATTGCTGTGGTCGAAACTTTTGCTGCTGTTGCTACTGCAAACTATACTTTCAGGTATTCACACACAGATTTTTGCTGCAGCAGCTCTTTTTTTTAAGTAGTTAGCTATTGTTTTACAATAATATTTTATAATACATTTTTTAATTTATATTTTTGATATTTCCACTCACACATAATTCACAGCTATTGCAATATGTCTTAGATTTCCTGTTCGAGATTTTATAATTTCTAATCTAAGATACATAAAATAAGAAGCAACCTTCATTTTAAATAAAATATTATATTTTAACCCTTCGTATACATACTGTTGAGTATCAGAATCCACTCGTGGTTACCACCCATAACTAAAATTCAGCGCTCTGTATCTTTTAAGTAACGTAATAAATGGAATTAGTGTATCTAATTGTAGTTTGGGCATTTTTTTTATATACTAAAATAATGGAAATTTGATACTCAAAATAAATATACTTTTTCCAGAGATGACTTACGATACAATTTTTTCCTTAAAAAAATAAACATTTCAACAATAAAATACTAAATTTTTACTTAAAAATAATAAAAATTGCAAAAGTTACAAATTTTTTTGCAAAAACTCATTCTTTTCTAAATCGCGAAATTTTTTTAATATGAAATTTTAAAAATTTTTATACCAAAAGTATGTAAATACTTTCTATAAATATTAAAGTTAATCCATGAATTTTTTCAGAATTTTAGCATAAATATTTAAAAAAATACAGCTGTCTGAAAATTGCCATAGGTGACAACCACCCAATGTATATGCAAAGGTTAAACAAATAAGTGTGTATACGAAGGGTTAACTATAAAATTAATCATGATACATTTTAATCATGATATATTAATGATATATTTCTCAATTTGTATCTTGTCAATATTTTAATTCTAATTTTCAGTTCCTCTAATTTTTTAAATTCGCGCGCGATTTCGCGATTTTCAATCTGAAATATACAAAATATAAGAATGCGTTCTAAAATAAGTGCGCGCGAGTATTTTGAATAACTAAAATTTGATATTTCACAGTACACTTATCAGTTTGCATTTTCGCGTGTTCCACCTCTGATCTCCAGCTCTTCCAGCTTTTCAAATGTCAGTCTCGCGAAACTCACGATCAAAAATCGAGTGTTTCACGCTTCGAAAGTGCACAAAAATGCGACGAGTATAAAGAGTCGTCAAAGCCGAAATTAAAATTTCATCGAGGCAAGGGCGATTCGCAATCGACCCGAGGAACTTCCCCGACTCGTTTTCTGTCTCGTGATTCTCGTGCTCGAAGGAGGTAAGAAGTTACCGAAAAATCTGGAATCGCCGCGAGGGGACGGCGATGCGGGAACTTTACGGCGTTCAGTCGCAACGCAAAAGGAGAAGGCGGAGAAAGAATAAGAGGAAGAGACTGCATCCCCTGGGGGCCAACGGCGAGACGATAAACCACGATCACCGTGTAAATGGCTTCCACTTTGCGACGCGAGCCGGTCCCGCGGAAAATTTTCTCGAGCACTCGCGGACAAACGCGTCGCGCACTCACATTTACAGAATGTACCCCGCGTCCGTAACTCGCGACGAGTAAAGGCACTCGGGGAGTCCTCCGAGGACGGCGGATGCTTTCGACCATGCTTCTTGCGCATTTAACGGATGCAAAGAGGTCCCTGACGGGAGTTTCTGAATTGCAGTCGTTAACGTGTACTTATGGCCCGGATAACGGAATTATGAAAAGGAAAGAGAAAAATAAAGGCGCGCTAAACGCGCCGTTTCATCGAACCAATGTCTTTCAGTCGATAAGCGTACTTCTTGAACAATCGATCGACCTCCATTACGCGCTTTTTTCGCTATGCATGGAGAGCAGTTCCCAATCCCTCAAAAAAGGGGGGAGAAGAAACGAGAAAAACACGTACAAACGGCGAAATCTGAGTTTCATCGCGACGTAAAAGGACGGAATACCGGCTTGCTGGTTTCTGTTATTTTTCTATCGAATGAAACAATGACAAATCCCATTACTTTCGCGCATCTCTCTCTCCCTTCATCTCGTTTCCTTTTTCTCTTTTTCTCTTCTTGTCACACACGCGACAAGAACTCGTAACCCAAATCGAAAAAAAAGAATAAGAATGGAACGCCTAACTTGATTTCGGACGCTTCGAGCCCAGTTACGATGTTACGACAGTTACGATGCGCGAATATCTAAAAGGACATCGGTTCAAAAACACCTCAACGCTTAAAGCAGAACTGCAAGGCAGTTCTAAAGTTCTAGACTAAAGTTTGGTTAAATTTTGATTATTTTAAAAGTTTAACTGAAGCTTACAAGTAAACCTACCCAAAAGTTACCACTCCGATTTCTTTTTAATTTGACACAAATGTAGAAGTACAAAAAATATTTAGGTTATATTTTTTCATTTTGGTCCATACACACACACTTTGAGTTTCACGGGCATGTTATAGTTTTTTAATGTTCTCACTTCTATCATCAAGTGCAACAAAAATGCATAAGAAATAAAATTGAAGGTTTTTATTGATTATATATATGAAGTCAAGTGTGTAAAGTTATTTGTATAAATAATAAAATGTTTAAACAAAACATGTAAAAAGTTGAAAAAAAATTATTTATATAAATAATTTGTTGGTTTGGCTGAGATTCAACTAATTTAACATAGATTTAAAATATTTCGGTTGGAATCTCGGCTAAAGAAATTTAGAATGGTTTTGTGTCTCAGGTATGCCGATTTTGTTAAAATTTTAATTAAAATTGCCGGATTTCTTTCTCGGTTTAACCGAGATTTAAACCATTTCTGACTAATTTAGCACAGATTTAAAATATTACGGATGGAATCTCGGCTAAAGAAATTTAGAATGGTTCGTATCTCAGCTATGTCGATTTTGTTAAAATTATGTAATTATATTTTGTATTCAATTTTATTTCTTGCATTTTTGTTGTACTTGATGATAAGAATGAGAATATTAAAAATAGCAGCTATAAACTGTCCGTGAAACTCAAAGTGGGCCAAAATGAAGAAATATGACCTAAATGTTTTTGTACGTCTACATTTGTGCTAAATTAGAAAGAAATCGGAGTGTACCTTTTGGCTAGGTTTACTTGTTAGTTAATCAAGAGACTCGTTAAGTATACATTGTATACTTGTATAAGTATCTTTTATACGATAACAATATAAATACAATACAAAGTCCAATTGACTTCCAATTGAGTCCAATTTGACTCTAACCATATTTTTGGGTTGTTCCAACATCAAGATAGTAGCAGTAACATGTATATAAAATTATCGCTAAAATTACAATTGACTAAAAAATGATCATCTTGACCATAATTTATAGTAATTATTTCTCCATATGATTATAATTACAAGTACCAAACATTTTTCTTTGTGGGTCCAATTTTAAGCAATTTCTTCTCAGCGTACGCTTTCCCGCACCCTCGACGGGGGGTTGGTTGGTTGGCTGACGGGACGCGTCTTCCTGGTCCGTGCAACCATCCGTCTGTCCGTCCAGCCAGCCAGCCAGCCTACGGCCAGCCCGGGGGGTTGTTTTCGCCGATGGCAACGCCACCGGTGGAGGGTGACGGAAACACCCGGCCGCGTTCGGGGGTACGAGCAGTGCGGCTTGATCCGCGGCGCCGGCCGAATCAGCAAGCCACAGCTCGCGACGAGAACGCGCGGCCGCGTCCGCCGTGCCTGTACGACGCGACGTGCCGGAAACGATGAATGAAAATGCGGCCGGGGGTGCGCGCGAGTCCGCCGATGCCGCGACGCGATCGGCCCCGAATTGAAGCGAGTGTCGAGCAATGCCGCGTCGCGCGCGGCCTGCCGATTTTTCGCCCGTCTCGGCTGCATGACGTCCGGCGAAACCGCCGCTGACTGACACTGCTCCTCTTCGACGTGTCGACCGGAAGTGTCGCGGCCTCTCAACGTGTAGGTTTCGTTCTCCCTCTTTTGCCCCTTCGACAGTCGTCGGGATCATCGCGTTTTTGGAAAGTGCCCCGCGCCGTTCTCGTGGCACGATTCGCTTTCCGAGGAAGATCGACACTCCGGAGGATTTTATATATAATAATAATAATCATCATTTTGGTTTCAACGAGAAATCCCTTTGGGGTGGGCATAAAATGAAGTGAAGCAAAGTGAAGTAAAGTTTCATTCGCGACTCGAAGGACTTCAGTAAGGAATGTTAAGGAACAAAAACGCAGGGTTCATTAGAGGGATTGATGCTAGCCCGTCGATACTCGACACGAGACGAGACGAAAGTGTTGTCGACAACGAGACCTGCCGTAGCGCCAAAGCACTCGTTTTGTCGCGAAGAGCAGCTGTGAATCCCGTACTTTCCTTTTTGCTTACCTCCCGTCGGTGGTCTCAAGAACCGGCGGGATTTTCGCGTCAGGAAGCGTTTCGTTCTCGTGGCCCGACTTGTTCTTTGTAGGAGAAATCCAGATTCTGGAAGACTCGGTCGGATGTTTTATTCGCGACTCGAAGGACGCTAAGGCGAAGAGTGTTAGGAGCAAAAACGCAGGGGTAGATTAGAGAGCTTGGTATCACTCTGTCGGTCTTCGACACGACACGAAAGTGCCCAGGACCAGATTTGCTACCGTGTTGAGGCACGAAGCACACATCATTCTTGCCTCTAAAAGATGTAAATTCTGCGTTTTTTTTATTTCTTCTTTTTACCCGCGACATGTCGGTGGTCTTGAGAGCCGTTGAGGGAAAGTCCGTTCTCGCGACTTGATTCACTTTTCGAGAGATCAGGTTTTCAGGAGGTAATGATAATTTTTATTAATGGACATCTCGATATTTTTTCTTCAGTTTCCAGAAAGTTTGTAGAAAAATCTCTTAGTATACACATAATAAAAGACGGAAACGTACAAAAAAGACAGGAAAATCTTTTAGTGTACTTTCGGAAAAAAAATTTTGATTCCACTTTTGGTCTCAGTACTTAATTTAAAGTCTGTTTGAAGATACGTCAACCTTTTTTGATTTTATCTAACCTACTAACTTTGCTGAAAGTTTATTTATTTTCAAGTGGCATTTTGCGCATTTCCTGCAATTTAGAGGCGTCAAAAGTAGGATTTTAGTTTCTAGATGTATTAAACATATATTGATCCTTCAGAATACACAGATTAGAAAATTCAGGTCGAAAGTAGGGCTAAAATTTTGATTCTGGAAACTATATTAGGTTGCAGCTGCACGAATTTTGCGTATGTAGAATGAATGTATACAGTTCGATAAACCATCCTATAGTTATTAAAGTTTCTTTGCGCGATATATAACTACATTAAAATAGTTTATTAAACTATATATATTATAATAAACATATACATACATACATACATACATTATAATTTTACCCAAAAAACTCGTATAATTGTCATCACCGCGTTTTTCTTCTAACGTGAAAAGAAAATCGCAGTTGGGCGAATAGAAACGTGTTCGGTAGAACAATAAAAATATGAAGATTAAGTTCGATGTTTATTTGCGCCTTGACGAATATTCGTAATGATGTTTCAGGGGAGGAACGTGGACTCTATTTTTATTACTTGACATCACTCTATCGATCCTTAAACGCTTCCGTGGGACGAAAGTGTCGAGGACGAGATTTGTTGGCGTGACGGCACGCTCGTTTTGTGTCGCGTCGCGAATTTCTGGTTCCGCGTGAGGCAGCAGGCGAGCTGCTGGACGAGCCAGGATCGTGGACCGACCCGTCGCGTATTCGGTGTAGTCCTCGAGAAGCTCCTCGAAGGAGGCGGCTTCGATTCACACGCGACGACGTCGAGAGATCGCTCGATCCGCGACCTAATTCTTCGTCTCCGCGCGAAGACAACCGGAAGGTGGCCAAACGAGATCCCTCTCTTCCAACTCTCTCCATCCGGCTGGAACGTGGGTCTTGAAACTTCGATCCTTTCATCTCGCGACTCCGCGCGTGAGTTCGATAGGCCGAAGAGTTGGTTCGATCGACTCGTTCGATTCATTTAGACTTGGACAGAAACTTACTTCACCTGACGAATAAAGGATCTTCTTCTTTTCTCTTTTACTCTGTCGCTACTTTTTGTACTCCAAGTCTTCCGCGAGCCACCGTCGGGGCTGCATTAAGGGGGATGTATTCGCCGCGGAGATTTCGGACGCGGAGTAGGTCGCACGAATTCGTCGGGGATCGCGTCGGGTTCGGACTTGAATACACAGTAGAAAAGCGATAAACAAATCGATCTGAACAACTAGAATCAAGTTGGTCAAATTGAAATTCAGGATTGTACGTGGCGAACTAATCCTCTCGATGTTTTCACTAAAATTTTGGTGTTCTTTTAATAACCATTAGTGGCAAAATTTGCGTAACTCCGAAACTTTATACTTCAGTATTTTTCAGTGCACGTCTCAGTTTCGTTAACATTTCAATGGGAGTTAAATTTTGTAGTTCAAATTCCTATGTTAAATTGCTGATTTAATTCGATTTTTATTCAATTCCTTATTCAGTTCTATTCAGACTCTATTGCAGCTTGTACAGCAGCAAAATTCCTCGAGAGGCTTCGTTCTTTCTATCTGATATTTTATACATTCAATCTTCTATTGTCGACTAAATTTTGTAGCTTAAATTTCTACGTCTCCAAATTGCCAGTCAGACTCGAATTTTATTCGACTCGATTACATCTTTGTGCAACAAAATTCGCGCAATCCTGAGACTTGATACTCTTTAATCAATTGTTTTCATCTTCGCGAACAATTTCGGAGGTTTTCTCTTTTTTTCAACGATGCTTAACTTCACCGTCACAATTTGTTGTACGGCGGGACACGGTAAGACATCGTTTTATTTGCAACAACGATCTCGCAAACTGTTACAGCGAACATGAGAGAACACACGACAATAATTTGTGAGATCGAGTCCAAATGTTGCATCCGCGCCGTGATAATCGCGGCCCCCGGCGGCAACGCGAATAAAGTGCGACACGCTGTGCGCTTATTGCGTAATTATCGACTCGCGATAGTTGAAATTCGTGCTTCCGAGAACTCCTCGTTTCGACGTCGCGCTCTCTGCGATTGTCCCCTTCCGCGGCAGGAAGGCCGATTAGCGTTTTCGACACGTGCAATTTAATATTTGCGCGTGTCCCAATATTACTGCCGATAACTGCGCTAAAAATGGGTTTATGTCAAGTTCTTTTTTTCTTAATATATGTAAAAATTTTAGCCCTTTCGATAGTTTTAATGAGAATGTAGTATACTAGCTCTTTCCGCGCAAGTCTTGCACCACATCGCGAATCACAGGCTAGAATTATCATTTTCTTAGCGAATCGTACGAAAAATTTTTAATTTGGCGTCAACGTCCGAGTTGAATTTTGATCCTATTTTTCAGCCTCACTATTCCATTCAACACCTATTTTGATGCTAAGGAAAGTGAAAAGAGAAATTTCAGACATCATCAAAGTAGGAGTAAATTGTATTATTAGAATACTGAGAGAAAAATTATCTTAAAATCAATAAATATTTTTTTATGGTGCATTAACATACTATTTACTTAAATCTAAATTCTTTTTAAATCAAATATTGTTTACCTGATTTAAGTAAACAATACTAAAACAATAATAAAATAATAAAATAAACAATAATAAAATTGGTTTAAATAAAGAGAATTTCGATTTAAGTAAATATGTTAATAGCACCCATAAAAAAAATATTTGTTGATTTTAAGATAATTTTTCCCTCAGTGAATCAAACCTACTTTGCTAATTTAGTTCCTACTGCGTTGTAGAATTCAAGATTTAACATAGAATCGAAAAAAATATAAAAGTAAAAATTCGAATTAAAAAAAACCACGCAAATAAAAAAAATACAACGCAATACATACGCAAAAATTAACATCTACACGCGTTTGAGCATAACAAAAGAATTACGTGGCGTATAATCTTGGGTTTGAGGAGCCCAAAACAAATTTCAGACGTTTCACTGCTCGGCTATTTCGGTCAAACTGCGCCTCTATGCATTCTAGAAAGTTACCGAGCAATCAAATATCCGTTCGGATCTCACAGACCCAACATTGTACGCGGAGAGTTAATATATACGATTCGCGTCTTTTTTATCGTTTCCCCCCGCAGCCCGAGAGCGAACTGCAGCTGATATAGCTTCAAGAATGTAATTACGTGCTGTTTGATAAATTTCATCAAAACCACGAGCGCTGCGCGGTTGCGCGAGGCTGGCCGAAAGGAATTTCCGACTCGGTCGCTCGTGTTGTGCGGAGGTAGATTAACGTTAAACGTGCGCGCGATATATGTTTTGTGTGTGTGCGTGTGTGTATTCAACGCGCATAATAATATTAGATTAGGTGAGCGTGTCGTTTGAACGTGGCGCGTCGTCGATCCGCAAGATGAATCGTCGCGCCCCGTAATTACGCGCGGCAGCCCGAATAAGGCAGCGCGTCCTGTACACTCGTGACGGGTAATTAAATTTTTCAACGATCCGCGTAATATCACTTAATATTTCGACAATGTTGCTCTCAAACAGCATCGATTTCTCGCACGCTGTAGGGAGGATCGGGCTCGTTAGTTAGCAAAACCGATTATTCCTGTTATTTTCGAACATGTTATAGAATTAAGCAAGTATTTCTAAACGTGTCGGAGATGGCTTTGAAATTCCTGCTTGCTTGATTTTGAAACTTGTTGAAGAACAGCAGAAGTAATCGGCAACTTTTCCTCCGGTAGCCCCGTCTCCCCAATACAAGCATGGTACATGCATTTTATATACTCGATACTCCCGAGTCGAAATTTTGACGCTACTTTGACGCTGTTAAGGATAGTTTGCGCCTACTTAGACGGTTTATAGCCTAGGTAAAACCTACTCTGACGATATTGATACTCATTAACTTCTCTTTTGAATCTTTAACTCTACCTTGTCAAAATTTTGATGCTCTTAAAAATAGTTTGAGTCTACTTAGATAATCT